TGTGTGTGTGTGTGTGTGTGTGTGTGTGTGTGTGTGTGTGTGTGTGTGTGTGTGTGTGTGTGTGTGTGTGTGTGTGTGTGTGTGTGTACACACACATATATATGTTCCTGCAAATGCACAAAATGTTAAGATGTAAAAAAACAAACGCATTTATGGCGTGCAAAGCCAATATAATTTAACGAAATACGCCATATCTGCCTTCATCAGCTTATAATTAGTTCCTAATAGTAATTCTCCCGAGATGTACATTATCCGGTCGTTCACTCGTCGTCTATATCGTGGAACATAACTTTCACGCTCCTAAGAAACTATTACCGCTATCTCCCGAAGTCGCGCGCTATAAACATGTCCCGACAAGCACCTTTTTTCTTTTTCTTGAGCGCGGCCCGTTGTCAAGTGCGACCATCCATCAACTAACGTATCCTTTAAGGAAAGTCACTTTCCTCATGCGAAACGACTCCGATGCGTTAAATTTTCGCTATGCAAGTCGAGCACACGTTGCAACGTATTGCATATTTTAATACTGGCGCATCAGCAAATGCTTTGCTTTGCGTGTGCTGTCGCGCAACGTCATCGCGTTGTAACACGCAACACGAATCGCCGAAATAATGTGTACGTCGATGATTCTCAAGAATTACTCACTTTTCTTTACAGCGTGAATTAAACTATGAAAACGCTGCACGATCGGAGATACTGACACTGGCGCTCATCTGTATTTAGAATACCTTGTGATGCACGGCCCTTTTCGTCTCCTTACAGAACGAAGCAGTATATAATTCTACAAATGCAAATATTTTCTTTATATTGTAGGGGAATTTGTACTCGCACGAAATGTGCAAAGGCATATATTTTATATATGTACCTATGCTATACGTTTTATAAATATATATTACATATAAAAAATATCTTTTTACAAAATATTTGTAAAAAAAATATGTGTATATATATAATATAGAATATATTTATTTATAATTGTAATACGTCGATACTTAAGCAAAACTTTCTATTATGATTTTGACTTTATAAATGACTAACGTATTTTTTCATGTTATAAGCTGAATTAAATAAATTTATTAAATAAGTTTATTAAAATTTTAATTAATGTTTGTCAACAACGCAAGAAGTTCTTATTAACTATATGTTATTGTCTGTCGCAACTAACGATATAGTTTCTTTAGAATTTGCTTAACAATGAAGACGGACTAAAAGTCAATACATTTGATTATACGTTGTATATTTGTATTTGCGATATTTTGCAATTTATATTCATTAAACAGTACATCTCATATTTGCTTAATTTTCGCGAAAGTCTTAAAATATAAAATTTATATATAGAATTTACACGTTGTATACGTAATTAAAATAGGCGTATTAATTAACGTACGCACACGGTATATAATAGTGAACAGTATCAGAGAGGAAAAGCATCTCCTTAATATTAAATGTGAGATGTATGTTAAGATACCAGAGTTATCATTCATTCAGAATAATAAGTATAATTTTCGATAGCACATACGCGCGATCAAGGTGAAAGCTGAATCTAACAGAAACTTTTTGTTCGCGCTGTTACGCAGAATTTCTGAGGCTTTCCATGATCACCGGCGTCACCTGCAGTTGTGATTAGTAAATACGGAAGAATATTATGCGCAATATATTAAAATATGGGCAATATGTTAAATAGCAAAGGTTTAATTTACGAAACACTACGAAAAATAAATAATAAAATATTAGACACGTGCGCGTTGTCCTAAGAGTAGATTAAAAAAAAAAATCGTCAAGGAAAGAGAGAGGAAATAATAGGAAAAACCGGCGTCACCTATAAGCCATAATAATAACGCGAGCAAGCACGCTTTCGTTCCGCCACATAATACGGAAATGGAAAGAGGAACATAAGAGAAATCTTCGAAATTTTTACATTACATTGCATCCTGTTCATTATCATATAGCAGCTTGCTCATAATAATAGCAGTAGCGCCGTTTAGGCACGAAATCAACGAAAGTAAGTACATGATTTGATACGGACGTACAAACCTCCATATAAAAAGAAAAGTGATTCGATTAGTTTCCAGGCAAAGATGCCAGATCATAGGACATGGGACCTCTCACCACTTGACCGTTATTAAATGTGTAACTTATGCGGATACCTATTAAAGCTCGTCGAAATAAGAATGAAATGAGGAGCTTCTTGTCGAAGCTAGATTCGTGCGATTGTGAAGTGTGGTGGAAGGCCCCACGATCTGATATCTCTGCCTCCAGGAAGTATCTTTCTATGATCTTCACGGAACAACGAACTCACAAGAAAGTCGTTTGCTTCGAAAAAGATTAAGAGAAATGTTTTAAACGACAATAAATAAATATGTTATATATATATATATATATATATATATATATATATATAATATTAATATATATATATATATATATATATATATATATATATCATATAAAAAATTTCTTTTTATAAAATATTTGTAAAAAAAAGTATATGTATTTATATATATAATATAGAATATTTATTTATAATCTAAATATTCAAACAGAACTTTCTATTATGATTTTGACTTTTTATAAATGACTAACGTATTTTTTCATGTTATAAGCTGAATCTATAAGTTTATTAAAATTATATTTATTATTTATCAACGCAAAATGTTCTTACTAACTGCATTTTATTATCTGTTGCAATTAACGATATTATTCCTTTGAAATTTGCTCAATAACGTTTGCATATGCTCAATAACATGCATATTTCGAGCAAGGTCTCATTACGTTATCGCTACGATATGGTAATGATTAGGTCTACTCTTCTTTATTTCTTCGATAAATTTTGTTGATAAATATATTATACATGTCCAAACAATTTACAATATTGGACGATAACATAGAAGCAAATTAGTATTGTTATCAACGTCAAAAATGCGAACTTCATTCAATATCGCCTACAAATTTTCCTAATGAAATATAGCATCGGAAAAAATTCGTCAGAGAAAAAGCGACCGCTACCATTGAAAACTCCCCCAAGATCATTATTCTTCTATATAAATTGCGATTGTTCTTCAACGAGATGCATAAACTCACGTCATGGTATCTTTATTTCTATTATATCATTATATCTTTATGTTATATCTATTCTATTACTTATCAATCTTGGAAATCCTCACCAACCTCTTCCAACTAATATAAAGCCTTACGCTGATCGATATTACGTGCGAATGATTCAGTCACGGGAATGAGGAAGAGGATTTTCAGCCCCATGTATAAGTTAATGGTGAGTACTTCAAATTCGTTTCCAGTGATACTCAAAGTTTACATAAGCCCTTTAATAGACACATGATCTACAGACGTAGACCAACATCCTTTTTTTTATGTCACTAATCAGAAATACACCACTTTTTTATATATATAGCCTATTATTTATATTGTAAGTATTTTCAAAAAGAACCTATATATTTTAGCATTAGAAGACTTTGAATTAATACTTTGTATAATTGTTTTGAAAGTCGGATACAATGAATCTTACCTACGGGGACCGAAACATTATGATCTAGAATGGTAGACCACGCGCCTACTGAAAGATTAATAGTCGTTACTTGTGAAATTTCTCCTACGTGAGTTACTCAGATCTGAATTTAGAGTTGGATTTGAGTTTTTCATTTAAATTATGTAATATATATGACACTATATATGCAATCATGATTTAACTAAGAAACTCACATTTAACTGTAAGTTAAAATCTCAGTGTCTCATCTAAGGCAAATTTCAAGTAACAGACTAAACAGACTACTCAGATTTGAATATTCAAATTTTCAGATACAGAATTAGAAATAGGCGTATTAATTAACGTACGCATACGGTATATAATAGTGAACGGTATCAGAGAGGAAAAACGTCTCCTTAACATTAAGTGTAAGATGTATGTTAAGATACCAGAGCTATCATTCATTCAGAATAATAAGCATAATATTCGATAGCACATACGCGTGCGCGAAATGAGAATGAGAATTCTTCAGTTGAGTCGTAATGACTACCAATATGAGCCTCATTGATAGTTACCTACATATTGATAGTTGCTTGAAATTCATCTCAAGTGAGATTTGAATTTAGAGTTGGACGTGAATTTTCCAGTTGAATTGCAATTACCAATACAATGTCACAAATATCACATAATTTATTTGGAAAATTTAGATCTGACTCTAAATCCAAATCTGAATGCCTCACATGCAACAAGTTTTAAGTAACAGCTATTAACATGAGTCTTAGTGTGTCTCACGGGATAAGTTTTTGGCGAGAACTGTTAATGCGGGGCTTAATAGCATATTTTCGTAGAGTCGCCTGTTCTGTCACAAGATAGTCCCAGTTTATGACGAAGGTTCCTGGCAGAAAAGAGGCTCCCTTACCTTGTACGGATTTTACGAGCACTTTGACTCAGCGGTTGTTGCCGTCGTTTGAATCCCTCGATCTTGCGTGCGACTGGCGCGTGAGACGCGGACTGGACGATACTTTTCTCGCGATCGCTTCGGCCCGCGATTGACTTCGCGGGGGTCCCGTGAGCTCGGAGTTAAACTGGCACCCGCGACTTTTCTCTACTACTTGTGTCAAAGTGACATGGCCCGACGACCGGTGCGCTCGGAGGGAAAGAAACAGATGACACCGCGGTAGGTGTCGCCGAAAAGTGTCGCTCCTCTTTCTTTCACGAAAGCAGGACGAACCGTGGCACGTTCGTGGTCGCTCGACAAAGTGGCAGCGTCGTTCGCCGGCTTAGTCGGTTCGCTTTATAACTTTGGTGCCCGGGTATCTTCCGCGGCAATGGGGCCTAGTGGTGGACGACAATCGTCGTCGGAGGTGGTGGTACTCGTATTCGCGGGGATCCGCGTTCAGCGCAAACGAGGCCAAAAGAATCGCCCGCGCGCGCTTGCGAAAGTGGTGGGAATCGATCGTGGGGATAGATCGGCCGAGATCGGTCAAGGCGAAACGCGCGTGGTAGGTAGAATCCCCCCGGGATCGCGATATCCCACCCTGATGTCTTTCTCCCTCCCCCTTCCCGTCTCCCCCTCCCACCCCCACCGTCGTTTCCGCCTGCGCTCCTTCGCGACGTCGTCGTCGACGTAGAGATCGGATACGCGTGCGGAAATCCCGCGCGGTGGCTTCACGTGATTTCTACTTCCGTTCGCGCCTCGGCGAGCTTCTCGAATCGATTAGCCGGATTTGATGATGAGCGCGTTCGATTGTCGCGTCTCTTACACGCCGGGCCGTTCGAAACGAGACTTTTCGGCGCGAAAGATGGGCCAGAAACACCTATGTAACGGTAGGGTCAACGGGAAGTACCGGTTCTCGAGCTTGTGTTCGTTTTTCCTCGAGAGATACGCGTCGCCACCATCGACGAGGACCTCGTTCGTCTTCAGGTTTGTCCTAGTTTCGTGTAATCCGCAATTGCAAATTCAGACAGATTTTGTGTTTTCTTTCCTTCCGCGCTCTTGACTCTTTCACTCGCGCTCCAAGTCGTGCAGGCACCGACGACGACAT